ACTAAGAATGAGTTCTACAATGAAGAGTGAATGTAAATGAAGTTGAAAACGAGCTTGGAAGGGATGAATTGCTGCTGGAGGAGTGGCTCTCTTATATAGAACCTTGGGTTGGTTGAACTCCTCACGATTTTAGGTGGAAATGGGATGAGATTCACCTAACAAACCCTCTTCGACTTGGACTCACGGTTTTGAGTTGGTTTGAACATGTGGGAAATGTCCTCCTTGCCCTTCATTAATCAAAACGTGCGTTTTGCCCATTTGCTATTGGAAATTGTGACAGGCGCAATTCTACAAAAACAAAAAACTGTTATTTTCTTCCAACTTTGACCGCATTTTTCTCATATTTTTCCTAAAGTATCATAGTTTAATTTTTATGTAGAAATGTTCTATGCATGTTCTACTTTAAAAATATGTTACCTTTTTTGGCAAATAATGATGGGAAATGGGTCAAAAATGTGGTAAAAAAGGCCTATCGACACATGTTTCTGGAGTAAAAAGTCAACCCTGACAAGCGCACTTCTGTTTTCCTTCTACTAGACTAGTGGGAGATCTTGTTGTTCCTCTACCGCATCATTTCCCGGTCCTTGTCTTTTGGAACTGACCTTATTATTATTTAAAGCCTTATCTAGCTCACTTGATAATAGAACAACAGTGATCCACTAGCAAGCTCATTTTGATTTTGAATGCATTACATTGGAATCCTAAAGCACCACCATGAACATTACCACGCGTTCATCTACGGTACTGTAAGGCACCACCCAGTTTGTGCCAGTAGCCAACTCTAACGTGTCAGCTTAGTTATCCTCAGTTGTTTTTTGATAGCTTAGAATTTGCTTAAAGAGTTCTCATCCCTGATGTGTTAGCTGAGTCAGATGCCAATCTGGACATTTATTTTGTTGCTTTGCTCAAATTTCCACCAAGGCAATTTTATTCTCCATCACGTGATTTCCCACCTGAAGCAATTATTTTGGGGAATAATCTAGAACAAATGTGGTCTTCTTCCTTGAGCTATAGGTGGTCTTTAAATAGAGAGAGCTGCTATAAAAGGGGACATGCAAGTTGTTTGGAGAGCAGTTGAGGAAGAAAGAGGACTGGGTGAGTTCTTCTGATACTCTGATTTTGTTATTACTATGTTATTGTAAAGAGGGATTGAGAGTATTTCTATTGTAACTTGCTGATTGATTTCTCTAGTAATAGTGGCTAAAGTGGATGTAGATCTAAAGTGGATCGAACCACTATAAAATCCTATTCTTCTTCTGTATTCGTTTATATTCGATATTGTTGTTTTTGTTTAATCTGATTGATAGATTTAAGATTCATTAAATGAACAATTGGTGTCAGAGCCTATTAATTGTATTGAGCTATTTTATACTATGTCTCAATTACGAGGTAATGGCTACAAAATTTGGGGTGGAAAAGTTCGATGGTAAAGGAGATTTCTCCCTTTGAAAGAAGAAAATTCGAACATTACTTGTTAAACAAAAGGTAGCTAATGTCGTGGATACCAAGAAGACAGAAGAAAAACCAAAAGATGAGAATCTTCAAGTATAGGAACTTGCATTCAGCACAATCATCCTGTATTGGTAGATAATGTTCTTCGACAAGTCCATGATGCAACAACTGTTGTAAAGGTACGGTCTAAATTAGACAAAATTTTACCTTACAAAGTCCCTAACAAATAAGTTGTTCTTGAAGGAAAGGTTCTTTGGTTTTAAAATGGATCCTAGTAAAGATTTGAAACAAACTCTTGATGAATTTAATAAGATTACTCTAGATCTGAACAATATTGATGAGAAGGTATCTGATAAAAATAAATCTATCATCCTTTTGAATTCTTAGTGCTTTGAGATCTAGGGAGTTAGAAATAAAGAAGAATGGTACTTCCAAAGACTCAGAAGCTCATTTCTCTAGAGGCATATCTGAAAAGAAGTCTAATAACTTCAATAATAATTGTAGCAAGTCTGACAATAATAGAGGGAGATCTAAATCTCAAGGAAAGGTTAAAATGTGCTATTATTGTCATAAGGAAGGCCACATTCGAAGAAACTGCTATGAGTTGAAAAATAAAAGAAAGAATGAAAACAAGAAACCTGAAGAACCTAATGCAAATGTAACAGAGGGATATGATTTTGCTTAAGTCTTAACAGTGTCGTCTGATGAACAACTTGACTCTGAATGGAATTTAGATCCAGGCCGCTCCTTTCATATGTCTCATAATAGGCATTGGTTTCAAGATTTTGAAACAGTTGACACTGGTAAAGTACTCCTAGGTAATCATCATGAGTGCAGTATTAAAGGCATTGGCTCAGTACAAGTTAGGATGTTTGACAATCAGATTAGAGTCTTATCCAATGTGAGATATGTACCAGAGTTGAAAAGAAGTTTGTTGTCCTTGGGAGTTTTTGAAAAAGCTGGTTATGTTTGGAAAACCGAACGAGGTACAATGAAACTGATAAAAGGTGCGATGGTAAAACTAAGGGGTCATCTTGAAAAGGGCCTTTATGTACTAAAGGGAACTACTATCACTGGTACAACTGCTGTAACTTGTTAGAAAGAACAAGAGAAAACGAAATTGTGGCACATGCGCCTAACACATATTAGCGAAAAGGGTTTGTTTGAGCTAAATAAGCAAGGTCTGCTAGGCTTTGTCCAAATTGGTACTTTAGGCCTCTCTGAACATTGTGTTTATGGAAAAGCAACAAGAATTTCCTTTAGAAAAGGCAAACACACTACAAAGGATATTCTTGAGTATGTTCACTCACACCTTTGGGGACCAGAGAAGGAACATTCGTTAGGAGGAGCTCGATATTTTTTGTCTATAGTTGATGACTACTCCCGAGGAGTGTGGGTCTATCTAATGAAGTCCAACGATGAAACATTTAAGAAGTTTCTTGAATGGAAAAACTTGACAAAAATACAAAGAGGAAAGAAACTAAAATGTATTAGAATAGATAATGGACTTGAGTTCCTTAGTTCTAAGTTTAAAGTATGTGTAGTAGAGATGGCATTGAAAGACACTTTACTGTAAAGGGAACACCCCAGCAGAATGGCTTCGCCGAGCGTATGAATCGAACACTACTTGAGAGAGTCGGGTGTCTGTTGTCTAATGCCTCATTGCCAAAGAAGTTTTGGGGAGAAGCTATAGTTACTGCAACATACTTGATTAATAGGTCACCATCTTCAGCCTTAAACTTCAAAAAACCAATGAAAATGTGGTCTGGACATCCTCCTAATCTCTCAAACTTGAGAGTATTTGGGTGTGTAGCTTATGCAAATGAAAAAGGAGGAAAATTAGATAATCGAGCCAAGAAGTGCTTGTTTCTAGGATATCTTCATGGTGTGAAAGGATATCGATTATGGAGTTTAGAGAAAAACGATGAGAAGTGTTTCATCAGCAGGGATGTAACATTTGATGAATAAAAAATGGCAATGTTACAAAATTTAGAGAAGACTACAGAAAAAGAAACTCACAATAAGGGACAGATGCAAGAATATGAAGTCCAAATATCTGATCAAGGTAGAGTAGCCCCTTCAACTCCATCTGATACACCAACACAGCCCCAAAAAGATCAACAATTGAAGGAAACAGAAGACCTTCATAACTATTAGCTTGCTAGATATAGGGAGAGAAGACAAATAAAACCTCCCATCATATACTCTAGTGTTGATCTTGTGTATTATGCTTTTAACACTAAAATTGAACAAGCAGGTGATGAGCCAATTACCTACACTGATACAATAAAATCACCCGAAACTGAGAAATGGATTGTAGCTATGCAAGATGAAATAGACTCGTTGAACAAGAATGAAACTTGGGTTTTCGTTGATAGACCACGAAATCAGAAGCTGGTTGGATGTAAGTGGATCTACAAACTAAAAGAAAGCCCGGAGTCCAAAGAACCAATTAGATACAAATCAAGGTTGGTTGCAAAAGGATTCACCCAAACTGAAGGAATTGACTACGGAGAAATATTTTCTCCAGTAGTCAGGCACACTTTTATACGAGTCCTACTTTCACTGACTGCAGCTTATATCCTTGAACTCGAGCAACTTGATGTGAAAACTGCATTTCTCCGTGGTGACTTGGCAGAGTCAATATATATGCAACAACCAACAGGATTCATRCAACTAAAATGTTGAAAAAGTTTTGGATGAATTTATGTAAACCATCATCAGTAGCTATTGCCAAGCATATGAAGTTGTCAGCTAGTCAATCTCCTAAAACTGAGGAAGAGAAGCAGATTATGAGCAATGTTCCTTACTCAAGTGCAGTGGGGAGTATCATGTATTTAATGGTCTGTACTATTGGGTGTGTTGCCCTAAACTCGTGGTTTGTATTTATGTAAAAAAAAATATATATTCAATAAAGTTTTATTCAATCATTTTGTTGTTGAATTCATAGCATTGCATTGTCCAAAATCCAATAAACTAAACATCCAAGACTATTATCATGACATCGGGATAGTATATCTATTGGGTATATATTTGATATACCCCTGATATACTAGGTATATATTTGATATACTAGGTATATATTTGATATACTAGGTATATATTTGATATCACTACTAGAAATTTTGTCTACCGTGACGTTTTTTTGACGTCACAAAAAGCTTTCGTGACTTTTTTAACGCCGTCACGTATACGCTCATCACGAAAGGCATACGAGACGTTTAAAAAATGTCACAAAAATTAGCACACGTGAGGGTTTATTAGCGTCATGAAAGACATGGACTTCCACGACGTTCATAAACCGTCATGAAAAATGATTTCGTGACGATTATAGATTGTCACGGAAAGACCTTGAACAGGGGAGGAGAGGTCATGTGACATCCTTTCTTGACGGTGTTTAAACGTCATGAAAAGTTTATTCCGTGACGTTTGATAATCGTCCTAAAAAATATTTCGATGACGGTTTAAAAACGTCACTAATGATTTTATTTTGTGACGATAAAAAGAGGGTCACTGAATATGTATTTAATTTTGATTGCAGACGTCGAGTAATATTTAAATCTCGTGTAATTAAATTGTCAATCGAAATCACAAATACATTAATTTAGATAACCAACTTGAAATATATATAATATTCTCGAAATATTCTCGGACTTGCTAGTACATTATATTAAACATGTTCAAATTCCTACAAACACAAATCACACGCCAACCCCAAGAAGGAAGCTCATCCATCAATTAGTTGCATCGCTAATTGTCGACTTCTTTGGGTTCGTGAAAGACCTAATGAAAAAAACAATACCCAAGTTAGATAAATGAATAACCAAAGATAGATAAGGAAAGAAAATCACTTCTAAAAGAACGAGTCTATCTATTAAAAAGTGCAAAGGATCGTGAAGATAACTATATATTCCACATTGTACAAGAAAAAATTCAATTAACATTTTTAAATAAACGCACTAGGAGTCTATCACAATAGTAATCTTTGCAAATACAGATCCCAACAGAACAAAATTGATTAGACAAAAACCAACCTTGTACACTTCTTCTACATCCTTTAGTAATATATCATAAAATATCATAATTAAACAAGTATCACAATGATTGAAAACGTATAATAATCTTCTACAACACTACAAATAATCAACATTCACAGTCTTCCTTATCAACTTACTCAATAATCTGATAAAACAACCAACATAACGACCAAACAAACATCCGAACAGAGCAAGCGCGATTAAAATAAACGACATGCCTACACTTTTTTTACATCCTTAAATTACATAGCACAAAATATCAGTACAATCATAAGGTTTGTAAACGTACAATCATCCCATAATGAAAGTATCGATAATCAGTATTTATAAAACTCTTATGTACTTACACAATAATATGATACGATAACCAACMAAATGACTAAACAAAGTTCCAAATAGAACAAAATAGGTTACAATAACAAAAGAACCCAACACTTCTTCTATATCCTTCAGCAGTATAGCACAAAATATACTTCTAACAATGTAGCACAAAGCTAGTATATCAGAAGGATTGGAAACGTTCATTCCTCGTCTAACGACAGTATCTATAATCAGTATCCAGTTTTCCTTGTGAACTTACTCAATAATTTGATAAAGGTGCTAAATTAGCTATAATTATAGCATATAACAATGTTGATTCAGAAAAATTTAAGATTTAAATGCTATAGTACGAATGATGACGAAAAGCAAGATAACTTACCTTTGTTATAATGGAACTTTGATGGAAATGACCACAACATGCTTAAGCTCACTGGACACGATCCGACAAAATAAAAAATCCTTACAACTTCTCGTTCCAATGCGAAGCTTGCTCCTGTCATATAAACCAATAATAGACAACTTAAGAAAAGAGGCTTTCTCAAAAAATTTGACATAAACAATAACATTTAAACAAAATTGTAAATTTTGTGGACGAAATTCTTCAATGGTGTTAAGAAAAAAATTTATAGGTGCACAAGTTATATAATGATTGGAACCTTCACTATAATTATGCTATAAAACTTGATTCCGAACCTAAAACAAAGAAAACCAGGAAAAAGAATGCAAATAAAGATATGCATTTGAAACTACATATTTCTAAAGAACAATTGACAGGTAACAACTTAAATACTTTTAATCTCCTTTATTAAGTATAACCAAAATCAGTTCACACAATAATTTGAAATTCTCTACAACCCACTTAAAATCAGCACCCAAGAAAATTCAAAACCACAATAGTTAGAATCACCTTAGTTGCGACAATGAGTAGAAACAAAAGAGTAATCATATGCAATATACTTTCCAGAGAAAGATAAAAGAGACCTGTAGGAATAAGTGGCTTTCTTCGGAATAGATAATGAAATCGATTGTGCTAGACACTGATGCCTTTCTTCATCATAGATATAATGAAACACAAAAACTCCACAGAAGTAGGAAAATTCTCATAAAGTTCAAAAGTAGGAAAATTCTCATACCATTCAAAAGTAGGAAAAGCAGCGTAGAAAAATGAAAGCTAATGAGAGATAGAACTAATAATCGAGAGTGAGAAGCTATTACCATTAAACAAACACAAAATAAATAATTAACTAACAAAAGCAAGAAAGGAGATGAAATAATGTAGTAGTTCTAATGGGAGTAGTTATAAGATTAAGATAAAATAGGTCGTTTGTAAGCATATTACAGCTAAAAGTGAAGTGATATTTCTTATCAAAAGAAAAAAATAAAGTAAAGTGATACATGATGCTAATATTAAAAATGATTTGTAGACACAAACTTGGCATTAGGTATACAACATTCTTGAGAAAATATGAGTAAAATTTAGCTTACTTAAAAGCTTCCAAGTCATTGTTGAACTTGCTTGAAAGCATTCTCTAGAATCACGGTAGACAAATGAAATTTAAAAAATTAAACAATAGCAAATTTTGACAAAATCAAGGCAAACTCGAACACATTTTTTTACGGTACGTGTAAATACATCAGACAAGATCAGTGAACTCAAATATATGTAATAAAACACAACAAACTCACATGTTCCATCTATTCTTCACATAAATGAAGCTTGTTTTACAGATAACCCATTAAAGGCACTAGC